GTCTTATCCCTTACCCTTACCCGATAAGGTGTGTTATTACCGTAAGTACACGATGCCAAGATTGCATCACTCAGATCCACCGATATTTACCTGGTGTGGACACACAACATACCCGGTTTAATAACCGCCATGTAACCCCGTTATACCTTCGGTGTAACGGGGAGAATCGTTACATAACAATGTATAAGAAATTGTTAATAGAATATAACTATAAGAGTTATATTCTCAGAATATTGTCATAAGGACGAATATTCTGCAGCACTTACTAGTAGTTCCTAATTGGTTGATATAGGCCATTATATCAACCAACGAAGACGCGCCACGACAGACGCACGCAATGAGTGGTGAGCAGATAACTGATTTACACATTTGTATTTAGACATAGTTAGATGAAGATAAATAGTGATTTATTGCAGACATTAACTATACTAAATACAGTTCTACTTTTTACTCTAACCGAGTACTCGCTTCTTCTTACCGTCTTCCTCTGCACGTACGAGTGTACGTGAAGTTACGAGGCACCGCCTTATTCTGTCATCAGAATAAGTAGCTTGTACTGTCACCAGTACAAGCTTCAGGGTGCCCCGTTACACCTGGTAGCACTTCGTAGTCCGTCCAAGGACCGCGTTCACATCTAACATGAATATGTTAGATGATGAAGATGACCAAAGCTTTCACGCTACGCGTGCCGGCTACTCCCATTTGAGCGATGTCGAATGGGATGCGGTTGAACGAATGGGTTCAACCATGGGCATCCATGCTGTTAGCGTCATGCTAGAGGCTCTCAATAGAGATGCCCAACATGCTACTATCGCCAGGTTCATTCAAAATGAACTTGACGCTGAACGCGAGAAAGTAACCTTGCTTCATCAACAAGGTTCTAAACAAGCAGAGTTGTTGAGAGAACAGGGTGCTCAACAGTTTGAACTGTTGAGACAGCAGCAGGCTGCTGCTGGTGGGTCGATGCACTCGCGTCGACCCGAGACTTTGAAGATTGACATCTCAAAGTATGGGGGGGGTCGAAGAAGACTCCCTCTTGAGATGGTTCGTCGAATTGGATGACGCCAAAAGGGCGCGTTGCATCGACGACGGGGATATGCAAGTTGCATTTGCCCAGTCAAATCTGGCAGGACGTGCCAAGACTTGGGCTTTGGGACTCAAGTTGCACGACCCACATGCGTTTGGGTCGTTGGGAGTCTTCAAGTCGCGGCTCAGACAAACGTTTGAACCGCCTAGAGCTGAGTTCAGAGCTCGAACCGAACTCTTGAAGCTCAATCAGGGTAAGCGTGATGTGCACGCTTACGCTCAACATATACAACATCTCACGAGTTGTATAAGTTCCAATCCGGTGGATGAACACACGTTGGTTTCGGTGTTCATGCAGGGTCTTGCGGATGGTCCCGTCAAGACTCACCTGTTCCGGCTTGAACTAGATTCACTAGAACAAGCTATTTTCATTGCGGAGCAGGAAGACTTCAGTCTGAGACAGGCTCGCGCCAGCTCGACATCATATCGTCAACCGAGACGATATGACAACGGAGGTCCAGAGCCGATAGAACTCTGTTATGTAGAGAGCGAGAAGGCTCGCTCTACAGGCTACAAGAAGTTGCAGAGATGCAACAGATGTCAAAAGACAGGACAATACGCTTACGAGTGTAGTGCCCCTCGTCCAGTGTCTCGCGACACTGGGCGTAGTGACCGTCCACCCATGAGAAAGGGGCAGGGACGAGGGTCCGCAGTTGGTGCAAAGACGCAACAACGGGATGGACCGTCAAAAAACGGACAGGATCAGTAGGTGCGGAGCACCCTACTGATCCAGCAACGTCAAGAGAATTTGTAGGCCTCTTGATGAAGGTTGCTCCCAACACACAAACGTTGTGCGTTGCTGCTCTAGGTAATGAAGTCTCAATCATTACCTTGAAACTCGAAGTGACGAATAAGTTGTCCCTTCGAGCTCTAGTCGATTGTGGGGCGTCCAACAATTTTGTGCAACGCCAATCGCTAGAAGATGGTCACTTTAAATTCAGTGAATGTGACACACCTCCTACGAGGATGACGGTACGTCTTGCGACAGGCGCATCCGTAACCGTCATGAAGCGTATAGTGAAGATCCACTACACGCTAGAAGATACCCAATACGACGATGACTTTATCGTATTGGATTTGGATGACAAATTTGATGTCATCCTTGGAATACCGTGGCTCAGAAGGTACGAACCACGGGTAAACTGGCAACATCGAACAGTAACGATGCCTGACGCTTGTTCATCAGATGGCCATCTGATGAACGTTTTGGAGCGTCCACAAGCGTGTGGATGTACTACGAGTGAGTGCGATGGCCTCACTTGTGGTACGGTCGTTATTACGACTGCACAAAACCTTAGTGTACCAAACGGTTACACTTCGGAGCAAAGTTCCGGCGGCTGTGAGGAAACACAGGCTGCGCCGAAGGTCCACCACTCGAATGCGTCGGGTGGACTGGGACAAAGATGTATCCCTAGAAGGGAACATCTAGAAGAGAAACAATCGATCGCTCAGGTTAATCGAAACGATAATCCTAGATCGACTGGAGAGTCTTTCGTAGAGGATCTCGCTGTGGTTGCGCAACCCCAGCTAGAGGAAGTTAAGGGAATATATCCCGATATTATAAATACGGCGGAAATAAGTTCCCCGAAACCCGCGGGAATAAGTCCCCGGGAAGCCGAAGGAATAAGTCCTTCGAGGCCTGAGGGAATAAGTCCCCAGGAACTGACAGAGACATTGAATGTCATAGTCAATAACGGATCAAGTGTAGGCGCTTATACACTTGATCTGATTTCGCCTCCGAAGTTAACTTCGGAGATCACTCAGTTGCCAACGCTCGAACATAAAAGGTTCTTGCGTGATCTGCGTAGTGGCAAAGTCAAGCAGATCTGCGTACTCGTCGCTGACGACGAGTGTGTAACCGACATAAGGTCAGCAACAGTGTTTACTGAGAACGAGAGAGTTCTCAGTAGTTCATCTATGGACGAGAGTGTCCTAGATGAAAAGACACGAATTGAGCGATATGACTCCCAATCGTGGGAATTGCTCAAGACAAATCTTCTCTATGAAGATTTGGTTGAATTCAAGGATGTATTCCCTGAAACTGTTCCGTGCGAATTACCGAAGGATAAAGGTATTCGACACGAGGTCGAGCTTAAACCAGGCTCGAAGTACTGTGTCATGAAGCAGTGGCCACTGCCTCGTGAACAAGTACTTGCGATCGACAAGTTCTTTGCCGATCGTTTAGCTGCGGGCCATGTGAGGAAATCAACTTCCCCACATAGCTCTCCGACCTTCTGTGTTGAAAAGCAACAGGAGGGTGGCGGATAGTGCACGCGTTTAACAAATTGAACGCTGCAACGGTACCGGCTCAGACGCCGATACCGAGGAAGGACGTAATCATTGATGGTATGTCAAAGAGTACCATCTTTTCGTCCATGGATTTGATGGATGGCTTCTATCAAATCCTTATGCGGGAACGGGATATACCCTATACCGCAGTTAGCACGCCTAGAGGCATGCTCCGGGAATGGCTAGTAATGCCACAAGGGCTTAGTAATGCCCTGCCACGTTCAACAGATGTGTATCACATCTGTTGAGACCAGTACGAGAATTCGCGCCGAGTTATTTCGATGACGTATTCATCCATAGTCGAGCTATGGATGGAAAGTCGGACGTTGAGGTTCACAAGTACCACGTCCGACAAGTTCTTACAATCATGCGAAAGCATCAATTGTATGCTAACCTCAAGAAGTGTATATTTGCAGCAAGCGAAATACCACCTCTTGGGTGCATCGTTGGTAAGAACGGTGTACCTCCTGATCCCGAAAAGATCAAGGCGATCACCGACTGGCCTGTGCCGGTTGATGTCAAAGGTCTTCGAAAATTCCTTGGGCTAGCGGCGTATTTGCATAAGTATTCACGCAATTACGCCGAGATGACTGTACACCTCTCTCGTTTGTTGAAAAAGAACGAGAGGTGGTTATGGAACGCTGAATGTCAGCGCTCCTTTGATGATATCAAGCAGAGCTTGATACAATCCCCAGTCCTAGCAATAGCCGATCAGGACAGACCATTTCATGTGGTCTGTGATGCCAGCGATTTCGCAATCGGCTGTGCATTAATGCAGTACGACCTAGATGGCGTTGAACGCGTCGTCTGCTATCAGTCGCGTCAGCTGCAACCAGCTGAGCGGAACTATCCAGTGCATGACAAGGAACTCCTTGCCATGAAGTATGCACTCGCAAAGTTCAGAGTCTATCTATTAGGAGATAGACCCTTCATTGTTTACACTGACCATGCGTCATTACGCACGGCAGTGAACAGCCCGCACCTTTCACAACGAATGGCGCGGTGGTTGTCATTCTTTGCAGAATACAACTTTACGGTCGAGTACAAACCAGGACGACTTAATGTCGTCGCTGATGCACTCTCACGTCGTCCCGACTTTGAAACAGTCGCGAAACCCAACAGTGAGACAGTCACTGTTGCGGTTATGACGTCCTCAGTCCCATCTACAACGTTGTATGATGATGTGAGGCGGGCATACGCCCAAGATGGTGAGATAGTGAAGTTGTTGACACATCTCTCCCAACCATCTCGAGAATCGATGAAACGATTGTCGTCTGCGTATCGATCTGCATCAGATCTATACACTACTCGCAACGGGTTACTGTATTATACAGCCTTTTCTGGTGACAAACCACGTGTTGTCATCCCAGATGATACTGATCTGCGTTTTTTTTTTTTTTTTGCGGATCATGTTCGAGTATCACGATGCTCCTATAGGAGAACATCGTGGCCGAGAGAAGACATATCTCACAGTGAGTCGAGAATTTTACTGGCCCCGCCAGGATCAGTTTGTGCGCAAATACGTTCGCGCATGCGAAGTCTGTCAACGAGTGAAGTCAAGTCCTTCACTGCGTGCACCTTTACAGCCTCTACCGGTTCCGGCTGAGTGCTGGGAATCCATCTCAATGGATTTCGTCTTCGGGTTACCCGAAGACGCACGCGGGAATACGGGTATTCTCGTATTTGTTGACAGACTCAGCAAAATGGTACACCTTGTGGCTGTACCAGAGACAATCACGGCAAGTGGCTGTGCTTGTGTCTTTATTGACACCATCTTCCGACTTCATGGGTTGCCCCGTGAACTCGTATCAGACAGAGATCCACGATTCACTGCTGATTTCTGGCGTTCCGTGTTCAAATCACTCGGAACGCGCTTGAAGATGTCGACATCTGATCATCCAGAGTCAGATGGTCAGACGGAACGTGCCAATCGTGTCCTTGAAGAGATACTTCGAGGATACGTACACTCCTTTAAGAGTTGGAGTGAGTTTTTGCCGATGGTAGAGTTTGCCATCAACAACTCGGTGCATGCGTCCACGACACATACACCGTTTTACGTGAATGGCTTGCGCCATCCGCGTGTACCCACCTTACTAGAGTGTAACTCTGGTTTAAGGGGGGGAGGGACTCGCGCGAGCAAAAGCCGATTTGGTTTACGCTCATCACGCTCTGACGAAGAGGTCATTGCGTTTGATGCCGATATCGATAACATCGATATCGAAGAAGATGATGCCAGTGAGAGTGCGGAAGCCCTCACTGAAGAAAAGGCCGATGTTGCTGCAGTGCGCCCACAGCGCACTGTAGCCAACGAGTCATCAGATGAGTTCATACTGGCTCGTGAAACGGTAGTCCGTTTTGTGCAAGACTCCATAGCCGAAGCGGTGGATAAGCAAAAGCAAAGCGCTGACAAGAATGGAAGGGCAAACACTCTTTTTTTTAATCAATGTGACTGATACCTACTGTCTACGGTTAGTCTACCAAAGCATGAAGTGACTAACTTGAATAGTAGTAAACTTCTACCCAAGTACATCGGCCCATTTTGTGTTTTGCACCGCCTGGGCAATGCATACACGATCGAGTTGCCACGTAAGATGCGAACGCATCCCACGTTTTACGTTGGTCGCCTTAAGCCGTATTATCAGTACGCTGCTTTTTCCGATGAAGAACGCCCTTGCACTCAAGCATCTCGCAGAGAGCCTTGTGCTCCCGATGGTGGGCATCAACAAGGGTCTGAAGAGCAGCTATCTGATCCCGAGACCGATCAACAATCCCACGAGCTACCCTTAGCTCGTCACGAAGAGATGTCAGAGATCTCTCGTTATCAAGCTGAGCACAGGCAAACTCATCTCGATGCTTCGAGGCAGTGTCCACCATCTGGAGACGCCTATTCCGCTCATGTTCGAGATCACCGCGTAACCCTTGCGTTACGCGATCAAAGAAGCTCTCGGGAACACACCGATCCCCATGATCGTGTGGAGAGCGTCTTTCCTCCTCCTCCACCTCCATTAGAGGACTCTCGCGGTTGCCAGCGCTATCTAGTAGAGCAGCTGTTGAACCACCGCGACGTGAACGGACGTCGGACGAGTTATCTCGTCCGGTGGCGCGGCTATCCCCCGTCCTGGGATTCTTGGGAGCCCCGCTCCCAACTGATGATCGACGTACTGGGTCTGGTTGAGCAGTACGACGCGGCACATCCTGTGCCACAGAAGGACCGCCGGAGAAAGTCTTCCCGGCACGGTCGTAAAGGGATTTCAGATTGTCAATCCCTTCGTACATCTCAGTAGAGATACGTACGCGCCACCAAGGGCTAGTAAGGAGGTAAGCCTCCTTAGGTGCTCGTGCAGAGTTGTTCACACAACATGGGCACGAGTCTCCCCAAGAGAGGCAGGGTAACCCACTCTCCCTAGACGGACGATGCAGCTTGTAGCGTGCACCTGTCGGGGTTAGCTTTTCAAACTTATCACGAGCTTTGATAAGTTTGTCGTTCCAAGCGTCACGACCTACATCCTCAAGGTTATGGATGTAGGCGTTCCACGCTTGAAGTAGTGAGGGACCATCACGCTTGTGATTCCCACTGTACCATCGATGTCTGAAGAAAGCATCGATGAAGAACTCATGTTCAGCGCGATAGTTTTTCGCGCTGGGGTCAAGGTGATGGATCCTTGACGAATCGAACAACTGTGTTCGATAACGATCACTCGTCGTCGCCGACAAGTGATCCATGACGGATTTGGGAGGCATCCATGCCTTCTTCTCGGGAGCGAGACGCAAAACATTGCGGTCCCGCTCTTCCTGCGACGTGCCGACAGAAGTACTGGCACCTCGCTGTGAAGTGGTGTCCATAGGAGAACCGACACCACTATTAGCGCCCGAGTCTCGCGACCTCGAGCGCCTTCGCTTCGGCGATGGTTCATCTGACTCATCAGATGAACCAAAAATGCTACGACGCAAAGCATCATCCATTCCACGCTTGGCAGGCGGCTTGGATTCGATAGCCGTCGATACGGATCCGTCATCCGTATCAGGAGAGTACGAGACACCGAGCTCGTACTCTGTGAAGACACGAGTGTCTTCATGACCAGCGCCTGCATCACCAGGTGATACAGGCTGGGTCGCTTCAGCAACCGATGAGACATCAGTTGCTGTGGTTTCTGCTTCGGCGTCCGCACAGAGACGTGCGGACGCGCTCTCGGCGGCCTTGCTCGCGCATCGCATGGGCTTGTTAACCATGCGATGAAATGCTGGAAAGTGGACGCGGACCAACGAGTGCAAACCCTGTCCCAAATGATTTAGGACGAGTGTCCATTTAGTCAATCAGTCACTAAAGTGACTGATGGTTAAGGGGGGGTGATGTAACGGGGTGAATCGTTACATAACAATGTATAAGAAATTGTTAATAGAATATAACTATAAGAGTTATATTCTCAGAATATTGTCATAAGGACGAATATTCTGCAGCACTTACTAGTAGTTCCTAATTGGTTGATATAGGCCATTATATCAACCAACGAAGACGCGCCACGACAGACGCACGCAATGAGTGGTGAGCAGATAACTGATTTACACATTTGTATTTAGACATAGTTAGATGAAGATAAATAGTGATTTATTGCAGACATTAACTATACTAAATACAGTTCTACTTTTTACTTTAACCAAGTACTCGCTTCTTCTTACCGTCTTCCTCTGCACGTACGAGTGTACGTGAAGTTACGAGGCACCGCCTTATTCTGTCATCAGAATAAGTAGCTTGTACTGTCACCAGTACAAGCTTCAGGGTACCCCGTTACATTCGGAGTTCTAAGTCTCGAATTCTTCAGCATCCTCTGAAGAAAATTCGCACTGGAATCGGAGCAATAGACCGGATCTTGCAAGACATGAACCCAAGCCTTAGCTACCCGACAACTCTCCTCAGTAGTCCAATGGGCTGAAGAAGCTGTGGCACGCTTCTTCTTCGTCAGATGAGGTTTTGATCCTGTAGTTGGAGAACCTCGTGGGTGATCCTGGCGTGGACGGAGATGTGGCGGAGGAAACTGAGGTTGTGTCTGACTTGGCAACAACTTTGTGACTCGAACTGCAGCGACTCGGCTCAATCCGTGGAGAAACTGGCTCGTTCCTCCTACGCAGAATACTGTAGTTGAGAGTGAGAGAAGCTCCACTGGTATTATTTTGGTACCGGTTCTGCAAATCAGGTTGAACGGTCAAGTAAAAGAGAGAGCAATAGAATTGTCGAAGAGATAAAGCCGAGGGTCTTCGACTTTGAGCGGCAACTGCTGGAATAGTTATCGTTTAATACGTCACTTGGACGCCACATTCAGGAGTACAAACATCTTCATTGCTGCTGTCGCTCACGCTTAGGTTATAACTTATTTTGATTTTGAAGCAGACTCGAGATTATTTGTTTCATACCGAATCTTGGTGTTTCCATCACTTGTTCGTTGTTCTCGATCAACATAGGCCAATGGCATGCAATCATCCTTAGCCGATTAAAATTGGTCTCAAAACCTGTGAGCCCATGGCATGCAGTCTACAAAGTTATCTCGGGTGTCGCAAACTGCAAAACGTAGGCGTGATAACGAAAAAAAATTCTTCTTGAGTTATCCCCGAGTTATTTCGCTGCTGTGGCGCACTTTTATGAGCATGACTAAACAACATTTTTGATTTGGCGGATAGTGTTAAGTAATACCGACAGCTGTAGACGCTCTTACTGTGTCGCGAACTTCGTCAACAGTTGACTGCAATTATTGGGATCGTGTGATGTTGCGCCACCAAAACTTGATTTGACAGCCAACCGTGCCGTGTATAGTATACGGTATACGCATGTCTTCGTGACAGGAAAGATCCGGGTCACTCTACAGGATCAGTGTGGTGCACGCAACTTCTCGTGGGAGCTGCAGTCAATTCAGCACAGACAACCTGACCGATCACAGAATATTCGCATTAAATCGGAAATTGAGTATTGGACACCGTCTCTGTCGACTGCTACTATAATTCAGTCTTGCAGGTATTGACGAGGAGACATTATCGATGATGTATACTCTTCTGCACACTAAACGAAGCTTACTTATGCAGATCTCCGCGCACTTCCTTGTTTGTACAGCTAGAATCACACGTTAGGCTTCGTCCAAGAGATGCCGTCCTGGATTTATCCCGCAAGCCCACTTTTGATGAAAGTGCATTGGTTTGGTACTAGCACTGCAATGTTAAGAATGATACGAGGACAGTACAAATAGTAAGGGTGTAACGGGGCACCCTGAAGCTTGTACTGGTGACAGTACAAGCTACTTATTCTGATGACAGAATAAGGCGGTGCCTCGTAACTTCACGTACACTCGTACGTGCAGAGGAAGACGGTAAGAAGAAGCGAGTACTTGGTTAAAGTAAAAAGTAGAACTGTATTTATAATAGTTAATGTCTGCAATAAATCACTATTTATCTTCATCTAACTATGTCTAAATACAAATGTGTAAATCAGTTATCTGCTCACCACTCATTGCGTGCGTCTGTCGTGGCGCGTCTTCGTTGGTTGATATAATGGCCTATATCAACCAATTAGGAACTACTTGGAAGTGCTACAGAATATTGTCCTTATGACAATATTCTGAGAATATAACTCTTATAGTTATATTCTATTAACAATTTCTTATAAATTGTTATGTAACGATTCACCCCGTTACATCACCCCCCTTAACCATCAGTCACTTTAGTGACTGATTGACTAAATGGATACTCGTCCCAAATCATTTGGGACGGGGTTTGCACTTGTTGGTACGCGTCCACTTTCCAACATCTCATCGCATGGTAAACAAGCCCATGCGATGCGCGAGCAAGGCCGCCGAGAGCGCGTCTGCACGTCTCTGTGCGGACGCCGAAGCAGAAACTACAGCAACTGATATCCCATCGGTTGCTGAATCGACTCAGCCTGTATCACCTGGTGATGTAGGCGCTGGTCATGAAGACACTCGTGTCTTCACAGAGTACGAGCTCGGTGTCTCGTACTCTCCTGATACGGATGACGGATCCGTATCGACGGCAATTGAATCCAAGCCGCCTGCCAAGCGTGGCATGGACGATGCTTTGCGTCGCAGCATCTTTGGTTCATCTGATGAGTCAGATGAACCATCGCCGAAGCGAAGGCGCTCGAGGTCGCGAGACTCGGGCGCTAATAGTGGTGTCGTTTCTCCAATGGACACCACTTCACAGCGAGGTGCCAGTACTTCTGTCGGCACGTCGCAGGAAGAGCGGGACCGCAATGTGTTGCGTCTCGCTCCAGAAAAGAAGGCATGGGTGCCTCCAAAATCCGTCATGGATCACTTGTCGGCGACGACGAGTGATCGTTATCGAACACAGTTGTTCGATTCGTCAAGGATCCATCACCTTGACCCCAGTGCGAAAAACTATCGCGCTGAACATGAGTTCTTCATCGATGCTTTCTTCAGACATCGATGGTACA